CGGGCCCAGCCCAGCCTGGCCCTCCCACATTCCTGAAACCTGCCCAGCCCTGTCCCCCCCTTGCCACTCCCACACACCCATCCAGCTCCTGGCCCAGCTGCAGCCCACACCCCAGCCCCCCACACATCAGAGAGCAGAAGGGCCCCCGGGAGCAACCGGAAAAATTGGATGGGATCAAGAAGTGGAAAAACAAAGATGGAGAAAGGCCTGTTCTTCAGCCCCCGGGGCCGGGTCCTGTCCTGGGTGCTGGAGGCCAAGGGGAGAGTTGGGCTTGGCCCTTCCTTGAGGGGACATTTGCTATGCTGGGCCGGTGACAGAAGCAAGGCTTAGAGTGCTGGAGAAGGCTTGGCCTTAACCCTTAGAAGTCACAGAGGCTGGGCCGGTGGCACGCGACTTTAATCTCAGCACTCGGGAAGCAGAGGCAGCTGTGGGAGCTCTCTGAATTCGAAGCCAGCCTGGTTCACATTAACTCGAAAGTTATGGAGAGACACTGATGGGGCCCAGACTCTGGGAGGACCAAGGAGGGAGAGAGAGGAGGCAAGGATCTAGACCTCTGTCTGTGTCCAAGGGAGGAGGCTGGGCTCTGGCGGGCTCTCCCTGTTGGTCGCATTGGGTAGACATCATCTGACCTCACAGCTTCCTGCAGGTGCCCAGGCTGAGGTGCACGTGTCTGTACCCCCTCTGGTGGAGGTGTTGCAATCAGAGCTGATCACCCTGGACTGCAAGCCTCGGGAGCGCCCTGAGCATTACGTGCTGGAGTGGTTCCTTGTGAGTGCCCTTGCTGGGAGCTGGGGATGACGCAGGAGGAGGGAGACAAGGACCCAGGGTCCTGGTCACAGCAGAACCAATGAGCTCTGCCTACAGGGAGCCGTCAAAAGCCCCAATTCACACTTCACAGATGAACAAGTGGAAACCTTGGAAGGCATGGGACCCTGCCAGGCGCAGAGCCTAGCGCTGAGGAAATGGTTCTCCTTCGGGAGCTTGGCTGGGGTGTGGGGGACCACACAGAGCAGAGAACAGAAGAGGCAAGAGGGGCCGGGCGGTGGTGGCGCAAGCCTTTCATACCAGCACTCAGGGCGCGGGAGTTCGATGCCAGCCTGGTCTCCAGAGTTCCAGGATAGGCTCCAAAGCTACACAGAGAAACCCTGTCTCGAAAAATCAAAGAGAGAGAGAAAGAGGGCAAGAGACAGTGAGACTCAGGAGGGGGGGTTGAGGGACACAGAGAAGATGAGGAAGACAGGTGAGGGTATGGAGTAATGCTTACCCCATGGGAAAGTGCTTGCCCTACAAGGAGCCATCAAAAGCCAAGCACTGAAAATAGCACTTGGTTCTTTCCCTGAGGACCAGAGTTCAGTTCTCAGCGCTCACAGCTGCCTGTGACTCTAGCTCCAGAGGATCCGATGCCCTCTCTCTTCCGGCTTCCATGGACATCCGCACTCGTGTGCATACACATACACAGACGCATATATACGTTTATAAATGAAGAAATAAATACTTTTTTTTAAAAAAAAACAAGTTTTAAAAAGAGGGATGGCTAGGCATGGTGGCACACTAATCCCAGCACTCGGGAGGCAGAAGCAGGTGGATCCCTGAGTTCTAGGCCCTCCTGGTCTGAAAAGAAAGTTCCAGGACAACCAGGGCTACACAGAGAAACCATGTCTCCAAAAACAAAGAAAATATAAAGAAGGATGAGATTTTAGTTGGTAGGATGCTGGCCTAGAATTTCCCCAGTGAGGGGCTGGGGGTGTGGCTCAGTGGTGGAGCACCTGCCTAGAATCCCCCAGTGAGGGGCTGGGGTGTGGCTCAGGGGGAGAGGCCCCGCCTAGAATCCCCCCGGGAGGGGGTGGGGGGGGCCCCCAGTGAGGGGCTGGGGTGTGGCTCAGTGGTGAGTGATGCTTAGCATGTGGGAGCCACTATGTTCTTTCCCTAAGCCCAAAGGAAAAAAGTCTTGGAGGGGGACAGTAGTAAAGGAGGGAGGGCTCACAACCTGTGCAAACC